CATAATGTTTTCAGGATTCATTGATGCTATCACTTGTGTCAGATTTCCTTCCCTTTCCAGGCTGAATGCAGCTGCCCTGTGTGTGTGTACCACCCGGGGGTCTCTTCACTCGTCGGTGGACCGACGAAGCCTCGGTGTGTCGTCCAAGGGCTTGTGTGCGTACTCCTGTGCATGCCAGGCTCACCAGCCTCCTCGTTTGGGACAGTCTTTCTCCTCTTTCTGTCCTCACCCTCACTGCCTTTTTCAGTCCCTCAGAGAGCAGTACCCATCTTCTGACCTGGAAGGATGCCTTTATTTTATATAGACCATTCCCACGGGTAGAAATGATATCCCCCAGCCGTCATTTCTCTATTGATAAATAACTTCCAAGCATAAACTCTTTGTTATTTGAAGATGCCTCAGTGAGCACCGACATGTCAACAGCAGCAGCAAAGGCAGCTGACGTCCTCTGAGTGTCTGTTCTCTACCAGGCTTTTGTAGTGTGGATGTTCTATGTGTTCTTTCACGGAATCCTCACAAGAACTCTGAAAGGTAGATGCTAGGGGTTTTTTTGTGTGTGTTTGTTTTATTTTAATTTCTATTTCCAGATGAGTAGACCAAAGTCCAGAGACTTTAAATAACTTGCTTGAGGTCCCTTAGCCCCTAGTGGTAGGCCCAGAAGTAGAAGGGAGTTGGGGGGCTAAACTTTGTAAGCCTTGGATAGAGCACCACCCCTCCCCGAGGGCCCTTCCCCTCATTAACTGGAAGAGCTCTCTTTCTGTTTGTTTTAATACATTTATAAATGGAGCCTCTGCCTTGGTTTTGTTTAAACCCAGAGATCTGTGGCGAAAGAAGAATTTGAAAACTCCAGGACTGCAGAACAAATTTTACCTTCGCAGCCTCCTGCCCTCCTGCCATTAGATCTCCCACCATGCTTCTGCTTGGAAGGCCCTGTCCTCTCTTCTGAAGCAGACCAAAATGCTTCTAAGGCATTTTCCAAATCTAGAGACAGAATGAGTTGTACTCTTCTGCTTGCTCCTCCTGCAGAAGGCCCATCCCTCTGCCCTAGCAGCACCAACGCTCTTTCTCAGTAGTGGCTGACGGGTTTGTCTCCACCACTGGGCTGAGCCTCCAGGGAAGTTGGACCAGGCCCACCTTCTCTCTGAGCTCCTCCGCCTGGCCCGGGATCTGGCACGGACCTCGGGCCTCGGCCAGTGCTTGATGAATGAATGCACGCCAAGTGCAGAGCGGGTGCTTAGAACCAGCCGGCCGAGAGCAGAAGCCCGAGAACAAACTAGCTCGTACTCAGAGAACCCCATGCATGTGAGATGGAGATGCTCAGATGTATTAATCACGGGTTTGGAAAGGAATTAAGATATTTCCATAATGCAGTATGTTTCTTTTCTAAAACAGATGTGCCCTCATTGTTTCATGAGGAAGTAATTAGGTGTATTTGATTAAAACATTTATAATCGTTATCATTTATTCAGGGCTACTCTATGCTGCTGTCTTTATGGGTGCTTTATGTATGTGTTGTGTCTGCTTCTCCCCATCACCCTGTGAGATGTCTTTATTGTCTTTGTTTTAGAGATGAGGCATCTGAGGCTCAGAGAGATTAAGGAGCTTGCCCGAGGATACTCAGCTTCTGGGTGATAGACATGGGAATGCAACAGGTCTGGCTGGCTTCAAACCAGTGCCTTCCCATCAGCCCAGCTGCTTCTGAACTTGTTTTTGAGATACCTTTCAGCCCAACACCCCGAACCAGCACACATATTCCCTTCCCCTCAGCTCTCCCTGTGCCCACCCCTGCCCCTGCATTCATCTCTCCATTTCCTTAGATTATCACCCTGTACTTGCATCCTGAAGCCGAAATGCTTTTGTCAGTGACAATAATTGAATGCTGTGATGTGTGGAAACTGGTGTTAATAATAGACTAATGTCACATTAATATTAATAAATACAAAATAATACATTGTGTTAAAGCCAAATTACATATATTATGATTTTGTTTTCTCTTTATATAGCCTTTTACTCCTAAGATGTCTTTGAGTCCCAGTGTATATATTTTTTAAAAGATATGTTTTTTTTTTCTTCATGTAAAATGTAAATGTAACAACTTAGTGAAAAGGAAGTTCCTTAGATAAAATTTTTTATTTTATTAAAGGTTGTCCAAACAGTGGGATACCTATTTCAAATTATATATGAAATATAAGATTGAAATAGCTCTCTTTAGAGAAGTTTAAGAGGTTTCTTACAGACTTAGATTCATTTATTTTCTGCTCCTCCTAGTATTTCAGCGGGATTAAGTTTTTTGAATCAGTGGATCAAGTTTTAATTTTCCTGTTCCTTCCTTACACTGACATATGCTTTGGCAGAACTAAAAAGAGACCTAAACACGTCAGCATGATTTTTGTTCAATGAATTAAAAACCATAAAAGTAACAAGATCTGATCCAAATCCCTAAACTCCTGACATGGTGGTTTTGCCCTTTTCAGTCCCAAGATTCATATTACTGACTTTGAAAAGCTTTCTCCCTGGAAGCAGAAGTGATGGCAGCAGTGCATAATTTATTTGAAATAGATTACAAGGGGTGGGCAGCACGGAGGAGGCAAAAGCACACAGGCCAGAGATCTGGATTTGAATCCTGGTCCTGTCACTCAGGCCCTTACGCAAGTCGCTCAACATCTGTGCGCCTCGGTTTCCACCTTGGCAGATGGGGGGATGGGGGTCTAGCTGGAAGAGTTGTTGAGAGGGGCTGTGAGGTGCAGCACTTACAGTACTCACCTGGCAGAGACGGGCTTAATAATGGCAGTAATCAGGATCATTTCTATTTCGAGAATACCTTCAAATAGCTGAATCCAGAAGGATTGATTCATAATGCAGCGGCTGCTTTGTCTTCAGAGCTCATCTTTTCTCAAAATTTTTTAATTTTTTCCCTCATCCTGTCAGGGGGAAAATAACAGGTAGATGCCACTAAATCTTTTAACACCTGCTTGTCATTGCTTCACTTGGAACATATACCCAGAACGTGGGTTTGTCCTTACCAAGCAAGAACCATACTGATTTGAAGGTCAGGAACCATATGCCAGGCGGGGGGGGGGGGGGGGGGGGGGG